AAAAAAAAAAAAAAAAAAAAAAAAAGACTGTAAATTAGTCATAAAATGATGGCATCCGCGCAAGATACAAACGCCTTATCCTGCGCTGAAGCAATTACTGTTCAAAAATTTGCTGGCTCATTAGCCCGCCCTAGAGAAATATATCTTGTTCGTGCCTTCAGACTGGTTCAGGGTGTGAGCTAGCGACCTGTGGTCATATGAGCGTTAAAGACCGTCAACAAAGGACACTCTGCCATCGGAAGACTGATATAGTGTTGCTGAGACTCCGGCGGCAGATATCGCTGGCACATGGGATCATGTCGCTGCCACTGTTGCACTGGTTGTACGTAGTATTGCCGAGCACACTGATTGTCAACCGGTGATGTGGCCAGGATAGGCTGCATCACAAGCTGGGCTGGATCTTGCAGGGGCACCGGTGTTACATACAGGCTCTGGTGGGCACGGGACTCGAAACTTGACCATAGAGTGCGAGGGTACGAGACTTGCTGGGTTGGGAGATACTGTTCGTTGAAATTTGCGGCTTGCTCTGGACACGGCTCATCGGACACCACCTCTTTCGAGGACAGCGGGGTTACGGCGTCTCGGGGATGGGAGCGATGTCGGTGTTTGGTCGGTGTCACCTTGCGGCGAAATCTTCACGTGGTCAGGAAGCTTGCAGCACCGCAACCGGACTAATACTTACGTTTTACTGCATGTTGAATTCTGACAGATATAGGGTCGTTCTTCTGTATGGATCCTCCGATGACGGGAAAGACTTGACGACTGTGACGGTTAACACTGGAGAGAGTTGGGTAAGAGAGGATACTGCATACGTCGGAAAAGGCCTTGTGGCATCCTCCGTGTTGACAAACGTGAGGTTTCTGTCCAGTATGCGTCCGCGAATGCACGGTCAATGCACTCCGCTGGATAAAACCTTTACTGCAATCATTGACGGTGCAATGGTACGGTCGCTCGTTGGTGTGTATCCGAAAATGCCTGCACAGGTCTGATTTGCGAGTGAAAGCCTGCTAGCGTCAGCGAGGGGAAATCGATTCTCAGGTACCAGATGATAGAAATGAACACAGCAAAGGAATCGAGAAAGTCTTCACCTTGTCACAATTCTCCCAAGTGCAGTGGAAATCACGTCCACCGCCGAACTTCATGGTTGAGAGGATGAGGGCGCCAAATCAAGAGCTATCGGAAAGATGGGCCGCCACTTAGGACAACGGAGAGTGGCCCGACTAGCGATTTTTTAGATTTGAAAATGGAAATGGGAATGGAAAAAAGAAAAAGAAAAAGTAGAAGTAAAAGAAAGAAAGAAAGAAAGAAAAAGAAAGAATCACAACGAACACAGTTACAGGGGGCGGACCGAATTTGACGAGGAGGAAGGGAAGATAGAACCGATACTTGTAAAGCGACGACCAAACAGAACTAGGAGAGAAGTACAAAGAATGGTGCAGGCGACAGAAAGATATGGGAGGGTAAGCGGCTCCGAGTGCGACAATCAGCTATGGCGGAGCGAAACAAAGGGTTTGGGTTGGGGGTGGAGGGAGGGAAGGGGGGAGGGGGGCTGGGGACGAGATAGGAAAGAGATCGGCACAAGCATCAGGGAACAGTACCTACAGTGCCATGACAAAAGTCTGAATCCGCCAGACTTGGGGCCGTGTGCCGTCAGACCGACGTCTTCCCTGCGTGCCCGCGCCAGCATTAGTAGGTAAAGCAACGGGTAAGCGCGTCCAGATAGGCAGGCAAACAGTGAATTCTATGACTCTAGAGACGCCCCAAGAGGAATAACTACACATAGTATGTAGAGTAATTAGCAATAAGCACTGCATGCGGAAGATGTGACAAGCAACGACAATCGCGCGTGGAAAGTGATCAGGTCAAAGGCCAGTTATATTCATGGTGATGTTAGGCTAAGGCTTTCCAACGTCTAGAAGCTTCACAATGACTATTTTCAGCAGCTAAAGGTGTCGTTCATATGGAAGTCGCATTTTATCTTGGAAGTTGGGCCCCCCGATAATTTTGTTGTCCAGCCTGCCTTTGGCAGCTATAAACCGCTGGGCTGCTAGCGCATGCTAAGGAGCAAGAATAACCCTCAACATAAGTGGATACCCACCATTCGGCTATGCTAGGCCGCTAGGACAGCATCGTCCCCCATCCATCCTTTACTGCACTCTCCCATATAATGATACTATTATTGCCGTCAACACGATCATGCGTACTCAAGTGGTCGGGGCCGTCCGGATCTCTGTAGTTTCTCTGTTTGGGACCACCACCCCGAGGGCATTAGTGCGATAATTGAACCGCACTCCATCGCCTAAGCAAGATTCCTGAGCGGCAGGTATCTTCCTGGCCTCTGTAATAATCTTGGTTATACAGCTTGGTCGCCAGCTGGGATTTGAGGGTATAGTATGGCAGAGAGTAGCGATCCTTGTGGTAGGCCTGCGTCGATATGATACGTGTCCGGTTTAATGTCGCCCATCCGGGGGGTACTCGCTCCGTTGCTGGGAGAGCCCCTGAGTCGTCCTGTAGGATTTGAGTTCAGATGCCTTCTCTTCAAATTATGAGACAAGTCATTCGTTCTGAGAACGGTCGAAGCGCGCCTGATGCGCCTAGAAGGGCGCTAGTGATATGTGGCAGATTAGATGTCTATGCTGTGTGGATCATTTCCAGCAGATGTAAGGCGTGTTCTGTCGTGATTCCCTTCCGTCCGCCTGATTGTTGTGTCGGAAGTAGGCCGTGTATCTCACTGCGTGGCTAACTCGCTTTACGATACCCGGCTTCATAACCTTCCCCAAGCTGTTTAGGAGTGCTACTGGTCGGTATGATTCGGTTCTGGCGGTAATCATTCTTGGCAGGTTTTCGAAGCGTAACCGTGAAGTATTGACGGGGATGCTGGGGGCAGTAGCGCAGTTTGTTGCTTCCATTAAAGAGGCGCTAGAAGGGTTCTGCGAGGTGCTAAGACATGCAACATAGTAAATGACTAGGCGTGATGTCTTCGCCTGCTGCTTCCTTTCCAGGCATGCGTGTTATGCCTTGAAGAACCTCGTTAAGCGTAATCGGCAGGAATCCCGGCGGGGTTGGGTATGCGTAGCCCGTTATCTTACAAAGCACTTCCATGGGTGGAGGCAAGAAGCCCTGTCGGGACAGCTCCAACTTTTATGCCGCGTCTGGCCGTCTGGCCGTCCGGTCGCTGAAGGGGTGTTATAATCGTGCTGTGTGGCTTTCTGGTTCCGGGCCCTTCTTCCTAGTTGCCAGAGGCCATCCGCTGATCTATGGCAATGCATTAGGGGTCTTTTAATAGGCCATGATCTATGGTTGCGCGCCCCGCGATATGCTTCTCATACTTCTGGAGTCCCTTTCCTTTATGTCTCCGTCGAAGAAAGCCGCGTCGACTGTTGCGCCTCGTTGCACTCATTGTCCATTCTGGTACTACTCGCGGGCTGAGTCGCGATTTGGGGTCAATTTCGTACAGCTGTCATGATTAGTGAAACTAACCCTTGCGTAGCGCTGTGCATGTCTGGTTCGTAGAGCTGTCACCTTCGGTATGTATTCGGTCAAGGTACGGTAGAGCTTTCTCTTGCCTGCCCGTTTCCAGATTTAATTACCTGGGACATTCTTGGTCGGAGTGGGCATGTCCAATAGCGTTTCCAGCAGGACATAACACAATCACTCTCACTTTCAGCCTCCTTTATCTCTACATCCTTTGCCACTGCTCCCTTCCCTGCCATTCAGTTGTTCTCCTTCGCAATCACTAAGGATATCAAACTCATCTTTAGTTGCTTTAAGGGCTAGTTCCCCTTCGCGGGTCACATGGATGTCCGCCTTTGATGGTAGTGTTTTAATATGACTACAATTCTAACTGTACAAAAGTGAACTCCTAGGCACGCATATACTCCATAAGCATCATATTCAGAAGTGGTTCAATCAAACAATAATAGCGAGTTCGACAATGGCAGTATGGATGGTGACACCCACCAAGCAGGGGCGATAGGAATTAACCGTAGGGCCTCTTCAATTACCTGGAGTAAGTATTGAAACTGAACACGACTAGCTTTATTACATAATCACTGCTATTTCCATTTTTGGAACGTATGCTAGAATTTCAAGACGGCTATATGGCCTGTATGAATGCTTGATCCGCCACAGAGACGCTCGGAGGCCCAAAAAAGATAGGGCCTCTAGCAGGCAAATGGGATAGTCTTCTCTTTTTGCTCGCATGGGTTTCGGCTCAGTGGACAGTGGCGCTAATACCCGCTAGGTTTATCCAGGCTTATTAGCCCGACCTTGATAAGGTCCATATTATACCTGCTTAACGTGGAGAGCTCTGAGCGAACCTACGATAACCATTGGTAAGCCTTGGGTAAGGAATCTCTTGATAACGAAGTGGAATCGGAAAATAAGCTGTCAGTCCCGCCTCTATCGCCTAGATTTCCCTCGCTTCCTCTGACGTGTCCTGCTATATGTGACAAAATTGAGACAGTACGGGACAGTGAGAAGGACATAGTTATGGATAGACAATATCTTTAAAAACTGAAGAACTAGTTCCTCATGTCCAAAATTGGCACCTCTGTAGCCAAGCTAAGTGCTACACTCTGTGGCATTGTGCAAGTGGCCTTCCCTAATAGAAAGCTCTTGAAGTTGCCGTAGCAATGTCCAAGATGTACTGTGTGACAGACCTGGAATTGCGTCGGTTACAGTGCATGCTCTTACCGCACTGCAGCGTAGCGTGCGTGTGTGTGTGTATTCATACTCTGACCCCTCGCAGTTTAAAGCGATATGCAGGATCTCCCTATCTACCTATCTTTATATTCCTTATATGCATCAAACCACTAGTTTTCTAACGAATTTGGAGCCTCATCGAGGCCTATGTTGGCCTAGTCGCCTAGTGTTTTGTTCTGCGGCCCCCGTGGCGCGCGACTTCGAAACCTCTGGGACGCTTCTGCAAAATCCAGTACAGCCCCTAGGGTGCCGTGGTCTTGTTCAGCGTCTTGTGCCTTACCTTACTTACCTTGTTGCCCTCCTAGCATATTTAAAATGCTGCTAAACGCAGCTCCAATCTCACTCCGCAGTTCTTGTCGCAGGTATCTGAGTTTCGGGCAGTCCACCAGTACGTGGACTACCGTCTCACGAGCTCCACAGACACATCTGTCATCGTACTGGAAACCATGTTGTTTTTAGTACGTTGCCAGCCAAGGGTGAGCCGTCCAAATTGTGTGAATAGATATGCTCGGTTCCGTAGGAGCGATCCGTACAGCCTTCGGGTACGGATTGCCGGTAGGGTTATGTCAATCTGGCGAAGGTGCCCTCCCTTTGGAGACTTGACCCACTCATCCTTCCACTCGTTCAGAATTCTCTTTCGGATGAAGCCCTTTTCCCGCGAGAGAAGGGGCTGAAAGGGGTGCATTTTCCTCGGGCCTACCGCTTCCTTTGCCAGCCGGTCGGCCTCATCGTTTCCGGGATCGTTGCAGTGTCCTGGCACCCATTGGAGGCGAATTGGAATCCTTCGCGCTTTCATTTCGGAGGCTGCCTGTAGTATGGCTCGGACGATTTGCTGCCCGGACTTGTTAGACGGGTTACGGATCGCTTGTAGCGCTGACATGCTGTCGCTTAGAATGGTTGCGGGATGTTCCACCCTGTCTAACTGGCTTTGCCTCTTCTGAGTTACTTGAAGAATCAGGCTGATGGCGTAGAAGATTACCATGAGCTCGGCTGCGTATACCGACCAGTGTTCCATTGAACCAATGCTGACTTGTCGCCACTCCGAGGCTTGCAGGTCTCCGTTGAAAGCTACCGTTGTGGCCCCTAGGTGGTTCTGCTGGCCGGATGCATCGGAGAAAATTGTAGTTCCGGGCATATCCCGTCTGGCCTTGGTATTTTCCTTTGCCTGTTCCCGGTCAGGTTCGATCTCGATCTCAGCAAATGTTGGCTCTCGCCAGGGCGCTAGTGGGGTGGGATCGATTGTCTCCAGGGCATGCAGGCGGCGGAGGTTCATTGTTCGTAGTGTCTTAGCCAGCGGGAAGTAGCAATGATGTCCGAGGTGTGTGCTGCGAGTCCTTGCTCGGGCCATTAGCTCATGGATTGGGTGATGTTCTGGCATTGTGCTTAGGCTGGCTGCGACAAGCTGGGCGCGTTGTTTCAGCCGTAATGGAGTTGATAGTATGTAGGATTCTGCTTCGAGTGCCTGTGTAGACACGGTTCTAAAGGCAGAAAGAATCCGTATCAGGGCAGCTCGCTGGATGGTTGCCAGCTGCCGCAGGTGGGTCTTATCTTTAGTGGATTATGCTACACGGTAGATGCATAATCTACCCCCGGTACTTCCACTGCGACGTAGTGTCGGAACTTTCTGCCGTCCAATCATAGCAGGCTAGTCATACCCCACCAGTGTAGCCCTCGACGAATGTTATACAGGCTATCATAATTAGCTGCAGGTGCGCGGGCCCGAAACCTCCTTTTGTTTTCAAAAGACGTCATACATGTCGACTGACACGCGGATCCTAATGTCCAAACAGAGTACTGTGGCCTGTGATAAACGGCAGATGCCGCACAAACACCTCGATAGCAATTTCCAAAGAAGAGTAAAAAAAACCTCCCATGTTACTCAGTGGTGATACATCTGCACAGGCACGATCCCATTACGGTTACCATCACCTGAGGCGTAGGCAGCATCATCTTTGTTGATATGGCCTCGAATCCGGACTCAGAGTCTGTTTCTCCGAGTACTTCTACTTCTAAAATTTCCATCCCGAGATTATCGATTCGTGAAGTGGCCGCTGGGCCACGCACTAGGAAGGCATGTAAGGAATGCAGAATACGCAAGGCAAAGTGCGACGGTCACCAGCCATGCAGTCGATGCGCGGCATGTGGAGTAGAGTGTCTCTACATTGATGGGAAAAGGGAGACTATGGAAAGGTGCGTTCGCATTCATGATGCGCTGAGAAACTATAGTGACCGACAAGGATCAGGAGATACCAAGATCTTGAAAGTCGGGTTCAGGCGTACGAGAAAGTCCTGCGCCGGGTACAGTTTCGAGTCCCGCCCGAGGAAGGGGACCTTATCGCTCAGACTCTTGCCCATGTATGCCACAATCTGATTGACTGTCTATAAGCTCTGGCCTCTATTAACATACGTCCAAGTACGGTCTGTCTACTGAGGTGATCAACACTGTTACAGATCATGCACACCTTTCAGCTACAGAAGATGATACTGTTTATGCAATAGAGTGTGTACAGGAGGACCTTCATAGTAGCAAAACTTTACAGCCCATTGGATTTATTGGCGGTCCTTCTGAGCTGTCCTGGATTCAGGATTTGAACCAGGAGGTCGAGAAATACACAATATCTTCGGAAGGAATCTCTCCGAAAGAAGTTCCAACCAATGACTCAGAAGTTTTGAGTAGGGTGAGTTACTTCCTGGATGATCAGGAGCTGGCCATTTATGGAAACATTGATCTTCAGACTCAGCCACCTCAAGGTGTTGCGGAGCGTCTGCTTTGCCTATACTTTCAGACTGTGCATCTTTCGTTTCCCATTATCAGCAAACTGTCCTTTACGCAACAAGTGGGCAGATATTACGCCAATCCAAACTTACGTCCGCCGAATAAATGGCTCGCGATTTTGAATTTGGTTTTTGCTGCCGCTGCCAAGTTTGCGCATTTAGTACCTCAACATTTGATGCAATCCATGGATAGCCCGACGGAGTATTTCTCCCGGGCTCAGCAACTCGCTACCGCAGAAAATCCATTAACTGAACATCCCAATCTTCAGCAGGTACAAATTGAAGGTCTCACTGCGTTTCTGTGTATGGTGTTTGGCCATATTAATAGGTGCGATAGCAGTTTTGCTGACCCTTTGGTCGCCTTTCCTTTCCTCTTCCCTTCTTAGTTTACCTCTGTTCATCAAAAGCCCCCACGTTCTCACCGAATTGCAGGTCCTGGAGAGTGTGTGGTATCGCAATAAGGTCTTCCATTGCTATGGGAATAAACTTGCGGAATCAGAGTAAAGAGATATCCAATACTTCTAGAGAGATCCGATACCGTGTTTGGTGGTCACTCTATACACTGGAAAACACACTTTCAGTCATGACTGGCCGGCCTACCGGAACTTCAGATAGGTTCTGTACGACACCTTTGCCAATACCTTTCGAAGAAGAGCAGTTTCATCGAGATCCTGCTGCCAGACTCTTAGCAGATTCGGGGTTTCGTGCTGAGTATATGGGGGACTTTGCATTCTTCGGATGCACCCCTGCGAACCGGCCTCCAAATACCGACAAAATTGGCGGCCGAAGGCCTGGCTCCAAACTTCAAGATATTATCCCTAATACTTCTCGGTATTTTCTCTATTTTGTCGAGCTGACCAAGATCATGCGTCAAGCAGTTGATTCCTTGTACAGTCCAGGATTCGCGAGACGTCCTTGGCTTACCATCTATGCGGCCATGATAGACCTGGTGCACGAAACAGACGAATGGCTTTCCGGTTTAGCGGAAGCCTTTAGCTTCAAGGATCATCAAGGATCAGGCCAATTTGATAGGTGGAGGTGGGGCCTTGCCGTCAGATTTTATAGCGTGAGGATTACAATATGTCGGCCCTCCCTTTGTCGGTCGGGAAGGCACAGACAAGGCACCGAGCCTTCCAAGGATCTTCAGGAAACTGCAGATATATATATTGATTCAGCTTGCCAGATTCTGGATCTCCTGCCTGATATTCCTGACAGAATCTGGTTGGCTGAGGTGTCTCCATGGTGGTGTGTCCTACACTACCTCATGCAGTCAGCAACCATACTGCTGATAGAGCTGGGCTATCGCATCCGAACAGGTGCCGACCAGGCCGCTTTTATCGAATCACGCATTAAAAAAGCACTAGACTGGCTTTCCGCTCTGGCGGCTGATGATCTCGCTGCTGAACGTGCTTTCAAAGTCTGCGATAGTCTTCATCGT